ATAAGACCAATAGAAAATATGTAAGGATCAAACTCCGAAGGCTTTCATTTTATATTTTTATTGAATAATAAATAATACTTCAAATTAATTTACATGTTCTATTTTGATTTTTTATTTTTGATCTTGCAACTTAAAAGTTTACAACAATTATAAAAATAAAAAAGAGTACATCACATTTTTTGCATCATTTTCGTAAGTTCATCCATGTCAACATGAGTTTCTTGGTTTCCGGCATTGCTTGAATCAGAACCATAAACCATTATATCTCCAATTTTTTGGTCCTCTTCTTCATCTACCTCTTCACGCCCTTGATGTTGCCGTTATGATCTTATCCAATCTCTGAAGCACACTAGAATTTCCAACGCGTTGCTGCTCAGTGAATGACAAGTATCTCCTAGTTGCTACCTTGCTTGGCTAAATGCGCTCTCTGATGCGACTGTTGAAATTGACACAATTAGCACGTCTCGAGCCATGGTCGAAAGAACAAAAAATTGATTTGAGTTGCTCCTCCACCAACCCAGCGGTAGAAATTCCTTTGTGCGGGTCTCTAATGACTTTTGCTGGTAGAATTGGAGTTCATCAATATTTCTGCTACTGGTTTGTTGATGCTCTCCTAGTGTAGACCAAATCAAATAATCTTCAACACCATCATTATCCTCCAAAGCACCGGTCCAAAATGTTGAAACTGAACTTTAAGGAATATTTGCATCTACAGCAGCAGAAGCATCAACAATGTTAGCATAATAATTATATAAAGTTTGTAAATATTTGTGTAGATCAAAAATACAAGTTTCAATATTAGGGGTTTCAGTTGGTCCAATATCCATATAAACATATAAAGCAATGATTAATTGGCGACAAGTGACCATTTTGATAGAATGGTTTAAGATAGCACCAATTGTGTAGAAATATTTCTTAAATTTATCTAGCTAAGATTTAACAACAGAAATATATCCTTCTTTCTTCTTCAAATTATAGAGTAAAGGAGAAATTTCAGCAATATGAACTAAACCATTTGCAATAGTAGGATAATAAGCTCGAGAAAACTCAAGTGTTGCCACATAATTTTTTTTACAACATCTTCAATGACATCCCAAGTTCTACATGTTAACAAACGGTTAGGATCGGTACAACGAGAATTAGCAATTAAGTTATAGACATTTAACATTTATAACAACATCTTAAGAATAAATAAGTATAATTCCACCTAGTAACTATTTATTCAGGCATGAGTTTTGATTTTAGTCCAGAATGTACACATTTTCCCTTAAATGCATTTAATCTAGCACTTATATTATTTCCTTGAATTACACCAACATCTCTTCTAACTAAAGTGATCTCATCTATAAATCATTCAAGGCCACCCTTCACAATCAAATTATAATTTTGACATGCACACCTAACATGAAATATTTCAGGAAGTGGTGGGTATAGATGCAATTTTAATATTGTAATAGCAGCATTGTTGTTAGAAACATTATCAACTGACATACACAAAAAAAAAATCTGCAAGATTGTAAAATATAACAACTTCATGGATAATATTACTTATAAATGCACCAGTATGACTTTGATCTTCATCATATTTAAAAGCAATAATACGTTTTTTCATACAAAAAGTATCATTTATCCAATGTCATGTAATAGTCAAATAATCATTTTCATTTACAGCACGACCAATATCAGAAGTAAGAGAAACTCTACAAGAAAGACGGACGAATAAATAACGGATATACGTCTGACATTATCCAAAAAGCTTAAAGTTATCAACTCTACAAGTACTTTTAGGAATACCTTTAAATAAAAGGTTATAAATTCTTTGAATATAAGTAACAAGATATGGTGAAGCAGCAAAACTAAAAGGTAAACAACCTAAAACAATCATTTTAGCTAATTCTTCCAGATCTTTCACTATATCGTATTTACCATTAAACCGCCAGTACCCGGGTTAAGTCTTTGTTACCCACCTTCCTCATCAGCACCCCATGCAATAGGGTGGTTATCTACCATGTGCCAAAGAAGTTGACCCGTTCCCCCTGCCTTACCTCTGGTCTCATGTTTATAAACTTCCTTACAAATTTGACATCTTACATAATTTTTATCTTATTCTAGTCTTTCAAAAAAATTTCAACACTAACTTCTTAATCTTCGATTCTTCTTAATAGGGAGGGGAGGCCTACCTGTATTACCACGACCTCCACCCCTAACATTTTGAGTTTGACTAGCATTACCAAGTATAGCTGGTGGTGTTTCAAGATTATCAAGTGATTGAATATCATCTAAATTATCATCTATACTATAATTTTCTTGAAGTCGCTCATAATCTACATTTTAATTTTCAGGTGAACTTTCATAAATATGTGTAAAGCTACTAGAAGAACCAACACCACCTCTTGATTTTTTAGAAGTTTTACTCTTACTACTACCACTCCTACTAGTACACATTTTTTTGGCTGCTCTAAATATATCCACTATGTAAATTAAATTAAAAATTCTAAATAATAAAATAATAATATACACCAAAGAAGAGAAAAAGATTGAACAAGTGTACCGGTATTCCGAATGCCGCACTAAATTTGATATTAACTTCAGTTGATACTTGATATTTGATGATTTGAATATTGATATCACACTTCACTTGAATACTTGATATTTGATAATTATAATTTTGTAGTGACTAAAGTAAATATTAGATTGAACTTGAAATAATAAGTAATTGAGAATTTAAGAGCAATAAGCAATATTATCAAGAGTGAATTGAGAGAGAATTAGAGTAGTAAGAGAGCAAATTGTGAGAAAAAGTGAAGAAGAAGGGGGGCTATTTATAGTTTTTAAAAGGTTAAAATTATAATTTATCAATTATTAGGGGCGGGGGCTATTTTCTTAAGGGGGTAGGCCGAAATGACTATTGCCCAACGGTCATTTTTGAATTTGACCGTTGGCAACGGTCCAAAAATTAAAATTAAAATAAAATTTTACAACGGTATCCGGGCTGGACCGGGTTGTAACTCGGCAAAAATACGGTAACGGTTAACCGGACTAACCGGGTTCCGGGGCACCGGTTACCAAAATTTGTTCATTCCCGCCCAACCCTCCCCAACCCGTCCCTACCCCCAGCTTACCGGGCTGAACTGGGTCGAATCGGACTGTGATTGGGCTGGCCCGGCCCGATTAACAGGCTCAGGTGAAATACAAATGATAGTTTCGTTTTATTGCCTATGGAGGGGGGTTTACTGTCCAATTGGAAAATAGCAGGGGTAATTGTAGCGAGTGAAATTGTGCTGTGTCAGTTTGTTAGCGTCGTGCATGGAATATGCAGTTAACTGATCAGTACTACAGCCTACAAATACCCCCCCGTACGAGCTGTGCAACCTGCTCATTGAAACCCTAGCTCTTTTGAGCTTAGCTTTTCTTTGCCTCTTTTTCTTCCTTTTAACCTTCTTTCCTTTGTGTTTGGAGATAGAAATCTTCCATGGCTGATTTGAACCAAGAACTGAAAAGTCTGGAGGTGGGCATTAAGCGAATGGAGTCGCAGCTTCAGTTGTTTGTTGCTGGCAACAAGCAGCGTCTCGATAAGCTTGAAACAAACCACAACCAGCTAACCTCCATGTTACACTCAATCATTAACAAACCCCCGAAAATTAAACTCAAATTCCCCGAATTTGACCTTGAAAACCTAAAGGGATGGATATTCCGACGCAACAACCTGTTCGACCTTTGTCAAATTCCAGAGCATAAGAAAATGGCATATGTTGCCCTGAACATTAAGGGTGAAGCTTATATTTGGTATCAATGCTATTTTAAGGACAATGGAGGATCGGTTACTTGGGAGAAATTCTGCGTTGACATCTGTTAAAGGTTTGGTCCTGAACCCATGGATGTAATGGCCAAATTTAGGAGTCTTGAACAGACTGAGGAAATGGATGTTGAGCAATACCTATTAAGTTTTGAGAAGGTTCAGTGCGACATGATTGATGCCTATCCCGGTTTACAGGAGATGTTCTACTTGTCGTGTTTTATTGCAGGCCTGAAGCCAGAAATTAAGACTATGGTGGATATGAAAAACCCGACAAGCATTATTGATGCCTTTAAAGTAGCTAAGCTACAGGAAAAATACCTTATAGCCTTAGATGAGAAGGAGGAGGAATGAAGAAGTTATGAATGAACAAGAGGAAAAGTGAGACCCTGCATCTTAGAAGTTAGAAGTCAAGTTAAATTTAGGATAGTTATGAGGATTAAGATGAAATTTTCTCCTAAAGTCAGTTTTCCGACTTGTTTAGCCAATCTGTATTTTTCTTCTTCTCATTTATGTGAATTTAGAGGAGTTTTTGAAAGTACCTGCAGGTTGAAGGGTGAGAACTGAAGCTAATCTCTGTTTATTTACTCTGTAATAGGTTATCCTCGGAGGAATGCATTTTAAAATTTGTCTTATGGTTAAATAGAGTATGAGTTGTTGAATTACTGATTCTCGAGTTTCGTATTTTTTTCTGGTCATTTGGAATTGTGATGTTGTCTTTGCTTGTGATATTTTTGGCTTCCGGTATAGTTTTACTTTTTAATAGGTGAAGTAAATTCATTATAAAGAAACAAGAAGGTACTATAAATGTACTAGTTCTATAGCTGCCTGTATAATTCTCAATAAAACAGGAAACGACAATTGAGAGAAGACCACTGCTTCTAAAAGAGTATATCTGCTGATATAATTGAATAACATGGAGCAGAGAGTTAAATTTATGCATTAGCTAGCATCCACTTTCTCAAATCATCAGTTCACCTTTCAAATCTGTTGGTCCTTGGACACTTAACTCTTGAGACTTTCCTCTTTTAATATCTGAAAGGAGGAGTGTGGGTTTCTATAACATGTTTGTGCTTTATATGGATGAGTGTTCACATCAGGTACTTGAAACAACTTTGAACAATATAGGACAACGTAGTATAGCTTCTTGGTTGTGATGAGGAGAGAGCATTATGAACCTTTCTGTGATCTGATGCTGTGTGGATGATGGGAGATGAGCTTCCAAAATCTTATTACTAGTTTTCAAGTAAGACTTCACAACTCACAAGTGACATTTTATTTACATTATAAACAACTATTTCCATGATAAATTTACTTGACAAGGTGTTGTGACTCACTAGACTATATACAAGATGATACGATTTGACAACTTTTAGAAACATTTCCTGTACTTCCTCTTATGATTTCTGTCATTACTATATCCGTTCTCCTTTTCCGAAGATCGTTACTAACACCATGCACTTCAATATTGCAGTGTGAAGAATAGTAGCCATACCAGTCTCCTTTGCTTATTGCTTTCCTGATAAATCAGCACTTTGTTGCTATATGGTACATCAACAGTCTTCATATAATAGGCTGAACCATTTTCTCCCTCTTATGGTTCTGTCAAAATCTTATGTTATAGGATAACTTAAGAGGTTCTAGTTGGCAGGAAGACTTCTCAAATGAGGTTGAGCTCTTCTAACAGTTTGTAATTTGGCACGTCTGAGGCAAGAGAAAACTCAAGGGAGGGGGTATGAATTCTCGCTAAGAAATCAAACGCTTGACATTATTTCCTTTCTTAATATTCCTCTAGTTTCCATGTTGCGCTCATGGCTCCATGCATGTGGAGATTGTGAAGCCAATAACGGCCAAATAATGTTCCTCTGTTTTCTTACTCTCCGGACAAGGAGCTTTTTCCGTTGTCTTATAATGCTGTTCACTGCCTTCAGATAATTGCTCGAGTCATGGTCCCTGAGAATTGTACCACCAGAACCATATGCTGTAGGGTCACTTAGAATTTCTAATGGGTGTGGAGAATTCAGAAAGGCTCTGAAAGCTCTCCTAGTAAATGCACAATGGTTGTTGTCTAGGGTATAAAGGCCACTGCCCGGAGGAAGAAAAGGGTGAGGAGCGGATGACTTCTCATCAGGCTGGACGATGAATATTTTTCCCATTGGAGAGTATAACATTTTCTGCAAAAATAAGCACATTTACCAGGGTGGGTTAGATTGGTACACAAAGCTGGAAGTAACATCTGAGTTGTAAAAATGTAAATGTAACTTTTTTCTTGGTCACTGGATGGGATTTAAAGTAACTCCAAAATTCTAAATCTAGAAACTATGAAAGAGAGAGCGTGCTCACATTCTTATTCAGACACGGATGGGATCTGAATGTACTATTCAAACGTTTGAGGACTTGGGCCACATGGTTTGGGTAGACGCATGAAAATGCCCTCGGGACAATGTCTCTATGGATCATCACACATTGCACATGATTCTCATCCAAACCCAAATCATTGAGCACTTTTTGACCACCACAGAACACAAATGGTGATCCAAAAGTGACAACTGGTAGAAGAGAGGATGGTTTGACGACCTTTCGAGTTAGCAGCATTAAGTTGACCAAAAGTGAGAGGCTTCCTCCAAGAGAGTGGCCGGTAAATTGAAACTTTGCCTTGTTGCCAAACCTCTGCAGATGCTCCATTATCTCTGGCATGAATTGGTCATATATTCCTTTTGCAGCTTCATAAATTCCTCGATGAACCAACACATCCATTTCCTGTGAAAATTAAATTAGTTGTAGCTGATTCAGTTCATCTTCTCCATAATTATAAATACAAGATTTTCCTATCAAAGAATAAGTAGATACAAGATATAAAGAGTCACTACTGATGCCTACCTCAAAGTTGCTGGGTTCAAAGAAAAGATTTGCCTGCCATGATGCCAATGAGTCTGATCCCTGCAGTTCACACATAGATTAGTTTGTCAATCTGGATGAAAGTGAATAATACCCACACTTTTCTGGGAAAAAGTTTTATTTTTCAGTATCCCACTCTATTGGATATCCAATTGTTTATTTAAACTGTTCTATATCTATACAAGAATTTATTTACCTGAATAACAAAACAACGAGTATATGTGGTTAAGTCATCACAAATGAACCATTCGCAAGGTGAGGACTGCAGTGATTGAAGGTCCCTTGCTGCCTCCAGTTTTTGTTCCTCATCAGCAGCAACCATTGTTGTCATTGTTGATGCAGCTACATATGCAGCCATCTCTGACTTGTATACCCTTGGGGAAGAGTTATCTTTTTCATCTGTGAAACACTCTTTATTGCCTTTCAAGGTCACATCATCAACTGCCAAATTGGTTTCATTGCCAAGTGATAATAGGTCCTTAGCACGGGATTGGACATAAGATGCTGCCGAAACTGCTATATCATAAGCAACAGATGGCCGAGGTAGATGCTTATGCTCAGTTTCCTCTGTTTTATCTGTATTAGGCACTGCACTATCTGATGATGGCACTAGAATACGAATTGAATCCTTGTCGAACTTGGCTTTGATAGCCATAGCTTCCGCTTTTTTCACCAAGGAAGATGTTACGAAGTCTAGACCATAGCATCTCTCTAAATCCTCGGGCTGCATATTGGAGGAGTGATATTCACTTCTTAGACTTGATTAGAACAACTTGAAATAAATACTAGTATTAATTAATCAATCATGCCACAAGCAGGGAGAATTTCCTCAAAGGCGAGATAGATTAAGAATGACCTAAAGGCGTGAATTGTTCTAGGCGCCTCTTGATTAAATGACTATTTAACTGAAGTACAGCTATGGTAAACTTATCTAACATCAACTGGGAAAAGATGTTTGGGACCGCATTGGGACTGGGAGGCCTTCCTTGAGCACTGCATGCATATGGCTGCCCAACCTACCTTGTTCTGGTTTCAGTGTTATTATGTGGCCTTAAGGCTTCCCTTCCAAAGAAATCCCCTAGCCTTTGAAATGAAAGGCAAGTGCCAAATGCTGATGAACCATTTACTTCCAGATAATGACCTCTAAAAAGAAAGAGCAAAGCGGAAAGGGGGAAAACCTGGGAGCTTTTCCCTGGTAGTTTTCACTACGATGGATGTAATGTTCAAGTTCAACAGCTTTCTTGTCATGCATGTTATATCTTTTTTTGCACAGCAAGGAAAGAAAATTAAAAAAGAAAAAAGGAAAAACATACACACGCAAAAGAAAAGGGTGACATACACAATGATGAATACTATTAAATAGCTATTCTTTATCCATTTTCTGTTTTACCTTTTCATATGTAGTGGAGAGGGAGGATTTGGTAGGTGAAGATTGAAACCAGATTATGAGAAAATTAGTAATAAAGAAATAACTTTGCCTTATTCATGTCCAGGATAAGTGAACAAACCTTAATCTCGGGAATAACATAAGCCATGTTGCATAGGAACGCCATCCGAGAGAAAAGCTTTGAATCCGACCAGGAGACTCGCCTTAACAACCTGGAGAAGGATTCTCTATCAATGTTCATCTCCCCAGCTGCATCATTATCATCTTCATAGTCTACATCACAACCTTCATCCTCACAACCTCCTCCACTACTTTCCATGTTGTCTTCGAGCATCTCTGCAGTGTCATTCTTCTTCTGTTTCTCTATCCAATTTCTCCTAAGCTCCACGAGCCTTCGAATCCAATTGGACCTTCTTGTTTCGTCCTCAACCTCTATCCCGTTGTTGTCATGATCATTATCATGGTCAGGATCAGTCTCAAAGATAACGTCCTCTATGTTAATATCCTTATTGGTGTCAATATCAAACAAGAACGACCGAAGAGAATCAGGGAGGAAAGAACTTGACAACTGAAGTTTAAAGGGACCTCCTGTGGAATGACTACTCTTCAGTTTTGGCTGTGTTGCTGAACTCTGGATACGATTTGCACGACAGCACAGGTGGTTGTCGGAATAGGATCTTCTTATTTGAGCCTTTTCGCGAGTCCCTTTGCTCGAAAATGAACTCCGGAAGTTGTCTTGCTCCTTCCACGCATCTTTAGAGCTTTTGGTCACAGGAGAGCTTATTATGGATACACAACTGCATGCCATGATTGCCAAGACTTGATCACTGCTTGTGGCGACCTAGAGCCTACACATTAGAAGAAGAAATCAAGGAGAGATCTAATAAGAAGGATTCTTGGGGGCTTGTTGAATTTGAACATTAAAGAAGAGGGGTCTTATAAAGAAGCTATTCATGACAAAGTATGGCTTTGTGCACAACGAGGACATAAGGATGATTCCATTTAACGACCGTAAAGCACAAATTTGGAGGACTTTGAACATGACTACTTTATCATAATTAATGTAGCTTGCCTATTCTATCAAAAGGATATGGGCATAACAGTAATTTGGACCTGTAATGAGACAGTGATCGAATGTTAGAGTTCAACACTGTAATCGATGTTTACTTTGGATTCTACAATCTTTTCATATTCCTAAAATTTGACTTTAGATTTCCAAGGACAAATGAACGTCTAAGTTTTCTATTAGCATAGTTTATATGGCGAAGTCCAATCTGGGGCTGCCTCATGCCGAACCCCAACATGGCTAGAGAACAAATTTGTGAAAAGAAGGTTTAGATTTAGCCATCCATGTCGCTGTTGCGTAATGCATGTGGCAACTACATTTTCCTTTTGAAGTTTACACGAAATATTAACTAAGTCCGTACCTTGGTAAGCAACAAAGATTTGTCTTGAGCTATAAACTTGACAAAATAAGCATTTTGCTGTTGATTTCGATGTAGAATCCTCAATTTTAGCGTTCTCGACGAAGACGATGTCCAAGAAGAAGATGAAAGAGGATCAGTATTACTATTAAACTTCAGCATTGGAAACAAATTTGAACTCCATTTTTCATGAAAAGAACGATGACGTGGAATTTTATCTGCTAGGTGCTGGATCAGTCTAAGGAGAAAAAAGGGGCATGGAGGGTGATGGCTGTTGGATCAAAAAGTGTATACGCTGTATTCTTTGTAATTGTTATGAACTTGCTCAATACTACTCCAATCTCAAATATTAATAGTTTTGACAAATTAAATTTTTTCAAACTATTTGATGTTGTAAAAACTAAGAAAGTCATTTATTAATCTTTTTCTAATATACTCTTACTATTTCAATTAGTGGAGTATTAATTAAATAAAATATTTAAAGAAATATAAATCACAAGTTAGAAAAATACTCTTATAATTAAGTCCATATATAATGTCTTTAACGTATACAAACGCCTATAAATAACATGATTCGAATTAAGAGTGTACTAAAAGAGTTACAACCTACAAAATCCAAGGCATATGACTTACTGTAACAGCCCATGGAACCATTTAATGAGAGGATGACACAAAGAAATTGAAGCTAGAAATTGAAGTTTGGGTATGGGAAGATGGGTCACTCCTAATTTCAACTCCTACATTGACCATATCGTTCATCCAATCCTTCTGCATCCTTGGATTTATCGTCTCTGGTTAAGTCCTACGATTTGTAGTCCCATAAGTTTCCTAGCTACCACCTAATATGTTCGCATTAGAACGGAAATTTCTATGCAAAATAGTAATATTATGAATATAATATTTCTTTTGCCCATCATAAATGAACACTGCAAAATAGTCACAACTTAAAAGGAGGCTCCTTAATAAAGTACACCTACTTTTGGAAAGTTCTTGCTTAATTGCTGTAAAGGAGTTGGTTCTTTTACTACTACCTCGCAAATGTATTCTTCTAATTAAATTTATCTTAGTCACCAATTCCTGGTTTTCTTTGTCTTTCGTCATTTTTATTGTTCAATTGAGAAAAAACTTGTGGCTCTATTAATTCCTTTGTTTTTTCCTGTTTCGTTTCATCCCCTTTGTACTGAAACAAAATTTTCGGTCACCGTTGGTTTAGTAATTACTAGGGGTGTACAAAGGAAACCGACAAACTGTACCAATTCGATAATTCAAGTCAAACCGAGTAAAAAATTTGATTATAATTTGGTTTGGTGTTGGAAAAAAAACTCCGACCATAATTGGTTTGGTTTGGTTTTAACTAACCGAAACTAAACCAACCCGACACTACATATATAAATTTTTTAGATATATCTAATATATAAATATATTTATTGTGATGTAATTTATAAATATTTCTTAAACTTTTTCATAATTTTATCTTTTAAGGTATTATTATTTCAAGGTTAGACTTAGAACTTTTGAATGTCCCAATACGTTTTATAGTCATTAATACTAGTAACTTAAATAATGAGAAAATCTCACTTTATACCCATTAATCCTAAACTATTTACCCATTAATGCCCAGGCCCAAACTATTTACTACTCCTACCCATGAGGCCCAAACTATTTACCCGATTTTTTCCTTGCCAACCATCTTTCTTTCTTTCTTCTATCGTCCAGTTTATGCATTAGAAAACTGCTCTTTTCTTGAAATTTTATGACAGATTTTGTTTTCAAGAATTCAAAATTTATTGTACAGAAGCCTGTGACCATTAGATGAATGGAAACCAAGCAATCCGGTTCACAACTGTGACCATTAGAAGAATCCACACTGATCTTGGCAAATTCTTTAGAGCTTCAAACATCTCTCCAAAAAAACAACAATCCTTCTTTTTTTCCTGATGAACCCAAGTACTCATTGTTGATGAAATCTTTCTGTGGCAACCGTTTTTCATCCACAGTTGTGTAGATTCGTTAGTTATTGTTCTTTGATATGTAGATTGTACCTTTGATGTTGGTTTTTGGAGATTTATTGTACAAAAATTTAAATCCACCATTGAAGGACCTTGAAGCTTGTAACTCATAACTTGGTTTGTTTGAGTTTTTAATTATTTTGATCTGATCCTGTATGGGTTTGTTTGGAAAGTTGATTGGAGGTTGTAGCTAAAGTTTTAGTCAATTTAGTGGAGATTTTGTAGTAGATTTTAGAAATTTGGGTTGAAATATAGTTGAACCAGAGTAGAAGACGAATTTGTATTGTATACTCAAATAGTATACAAATATACCATTTTAGTATACAATTCATTCCAACTATTACCCTATTAGTATATCTATATACTATATTGGTATCATATACTAGTTGAATCANCAACTATATACCCTATTAGTATAGTTATATACTATATTGGTATCATATGCTAGTTGAATCATTTTTTGGTTGTATTAGCTGCATTTAATTGATACAATATTTGATTTTCTTTTAATAATAGTAATATAGTACAATATCTTGAAATACCTTATTATATTAATATGTGGTACACTATTTTTTATTTTATTTTTCTCTTTATGCATGTGTGTTATGTAATAGTAGTATAGTCATATAGTTGCCGGGAATTAACTAGTAAAATTGTATACCATGTTGGTATAGTTATATGCCATATTGGTATCATATGGTAGTTGAACATTGTTTTGGTTGTTTTAGCTGCATCTTAAGTGAATTCTATTATGAAATTATTTATATAAACATGAGTTGCAATGCTGGAATTTTTGTGTGCCGATGGACATAAATTATGTGTATTATGTAATAGTTTTTATAGTTATAGGCAATTGTTGGAACAACCCCATACAACTATATACCCTCTTAGTATACAAAATGAGCAAGTTATTTTGCGAATATTTAGCTTGCAATACGAGCATGTAATTTTCTCATACTTTTATTGCGTCCTTTAATGTTTTGGTACAGTAATATAGTCGCAAATAGTTGTAGCAATATTTTAGAGAAATCACATGCTCTGTTGGTATACATACAGGGGCGGATCTAGCGTGTAGTATATGGGTTCCCGGGAACCCAGTAACTTTTGTGTAGATCCTGTATTTTTGTTAAATTTTTTATTAAATATCTATTTGTGAACCTAGTTATTATTGTATATTAATTTGAAATTGCGACAGGAACCCATAAACTTAGAATCTTGGATCCGCCTCTGTATAAATATATACCCTATTGGTATCACATGGTACTAGAAGTCTTTTTTGCTACTTATATTTTTGTTGCATTTTTCAATATTTTATTGTCATTTTTATTCTAACTAGTATATATGGAGATTTGGTTGCCGTAGATTATGTTTTCTTGCTCTATAACTGGTTGTATTACTGCTAATGATAGAGTGTATACTGATACTTATAGGGAGGTAGATCAAGGTTTGCATGGCAATCACGTGTTGATTCTTACAATCTGATTATGTAATTTATGGTGCGCAACAGCAATCAATGTGATATTCGGTGAATTAGATCAAGTGACAACTAATATTATTTTAGTTTAATAATTGAATTTAATAAATGAGAAAGAAAAAAAACATAAGGTATATTGTACAAGTTATATTAAAAAAAGGTGAACAAATATTTGCTATATCAGTTAATTTTTCTTATTGTATAAAAAGGAATAATAAAAAATAGTGAAAACGGTAAATGAAATTAGATTATGAAGAGAAAAAGAATAAAAAAAAGAAGTTAAATGAAATTAGAAAAGGAAAAAAGAAAAACATAAGAAGAAAACGAGAAAAAAGAAAAGGCAAAAGAAAAAAAGAAGAAAAGAAACATAGAAATAAAAAAAAGAATTGGAGAATAAAGAAATATTCCCCACAAAAACTATTATGGGTAGGAAATGTAATTAGTTTATGGGTAGAAAAACAAATGAGTAAACAAGGGTAAATAATTTTATTTTTGTGGGTAACTATGTCAAAACCCCTTAAATAATGCTAACAAAAGACCAAACCAAAATCAAATCAATACTAATGTTAACAAAAGATATTCAGTTCAATTCTAGGAATGACAATGTATTGAATATCTAATTTTTGTTTTACAATGCTTTAGATAAAAATACATAACCTATTTTTATTTTTCTTTAGCGTTTAGTCATGTAATTAATACTCCACTTATTAGTCTACTTATTTTAGCATAACTTAGTACTTTTAGATTATGTTTATTTTTAATTAGCAATATTTATATTACTTAATTTTATTGTTGAATATTTTAGGATAATGACATGACACATCTCATATTTTGTATTATTTTCTTGAAAAATACCTTATATTGTTGTATCTTACTAGGATTTAAAAAATATTTTGAGCACAAGTTATATGTTTTGTGCTA